GCTTATTTTCTCTTTAGTTTTCATTGCCATAGGTGCTATACTGCTGGAGATATTTCTACAATATATGTCTGCAATTTTTCTGCCTATGGATTCTTCCAAGATTTTTATGGTTTCCTGTCTGTGTTTAAGTCCTTCATTCATTTTGAGTTTATTTTTGTGTATGGTGTATGTTGGTGGTCTAATTTCATTCTTTTGCATGCATCTGCCCAATTTTCCCAACACCATTTATTGAAGAGACTATCTTGTCTCCATTGTATGCTCTTGCCTCCTTTGTCAAATATTATCCTATATAATAAAAGCTTAATATGCTAAGTGTCAGGTTGTCCGTTCAACCAATCAAAGTGTAATGTTAAGGCTGCTCAACTGCTCACTCTGATGTGCACTGACCACCAGGGGGCAGATGCTCTGACTCGTAGGTTAGCTTACTGCTGGGGTCCGCCCTATTGGGGCTGAGCGAGACGGGCTGGACATGCCCTGGAGCCCTCCCATGGTGCCTCTCTGGCTGGCCAACCTCCTGCATCCCTCACCAACCCCGACTGTGCACCTGTAGGGTCCCTCGGCCTGGCCTGCACCCTCTCGCAATACAGAACCCCTCGGGGGATGTTGGAGAGCTGGTTTCGGCCCGATCTTGCAGGCCAGGCCGAGGGACCCCACTGGTGCATGAATTTGTGCACTGGGCCTCTAGTTTGAGTATAATGGCTTGGGTTGATTTCTAGGTTCTCTGTTCTGTGTCATTGGTCTATATGTCTGTTCTTGTGCCAATACCAGGCAGTTTTGAGGACAGTGGCTTTGTAGTATAGCTTGAGATCTGGTTTTGTGATTGCTCCAACTTTGGTCTTTTTTCTCAGGATTGCTGCAGCTATTCGGGGTCTGGTGCCTGAATCTGTAGCCATCTCTCTCTGGCAGATAGCAACCCTGCTGCTTTTCACAGCCAGAAGTTATGTGGGCACCCTTCTCCGTTCTGGTGCTCTCTGCTGGGGGCCCTGCTTGGAGGTTACAGTCTCCTTTTTCCCCCATTGACCTTTCCCCAGCCGCCCCCACCCCCCGGCACATGCCCTTACCCTGCTACTGTCTGTGTGCGTTGGTTATGCTCATATGCATGCATACAAGTCCTTTGGTTGATCTCTTACCCCCTCACCCCCTGCCTTCCCTCATAGGTTGGACAGTCTGTTCAATTGTAGCCATTAGTTCTTAACTCAGTTTGATGCTGATCAGAATCTGGTGTCCTAAGGGCTTAATGATTAAGGAATGCAGTGAATGAACAGAAAGGAGAAAAGGGATATATA